CCCCAAAACCCCAAAACCCCAAAACCCCATTGTACCAGAATAAATTTATTATAAGAATTCAAAATAATAATTAAGAATGAAACTTATACTATTTTTTGTACTATTCTCTACTAATTGGATCTATTTTGCATTGGCTGAGGATAGTATTTTCACAGGTCCAAAGTAAAATCAAATAATTGAGCAAGAGAATCTTGTTTACATATGAAATGAACAATCCTAGGAAAGCAAAATAAAGTTATCTAATAGTCGTTTATTGATTGATGATGCAATAAGTTAGCCTACTTAATTAAGACAAAGTCTCTTAGATCTAATAGAACTTAAGAATAAAATCCCCAGATACAACTTAAATCTAGAGCCAGTACCTAATAAATATCACCCAGAAAATGAAAGATATGTAGAGGGACTCGTATTCATGGTTGTTGTAATAATCTTCACATCTCTTGTAATTGGAGTTGCTTTTATACTGTTTACTGTTTGCAGAGTAGCCTGTAAAAGATGTTAAGGGGACATCGAAGATAGTGAAAGTTTCAATCCTGATGGCAAAGGCAATTATGTTTGTGGATTAGTATTTTTAACATTGTACTTCACAGCAGTATCAACTATATTGATCATTGGAAATGTCGGCTATTTCAACAACTCTCTTGATTCAAATGAGCTGATATCTACTTTTGCCAATTAAATGCAGACTAATGTCTAAACTCTGAAGTCTAATCTCATTACTCTTAACGATGCCTAACTTCAAGACTATATTTAAAAGTATGGAGTAAAAATGAGCTTTGATATTAACTCATTGAACAACAATGTCATACCTGAAGCTCAGAATATCTTAACTTAGTCTGAAGGGAATGCTGATAAGATGAAAAGCTTGGAGATAGGAGTCTTCGTTTGGGTATTCATAACTTTCGGCTTTGGCTTACTCTTTATAATTCTTAGCTGTATATCTTTGAGTAAAAATTGGCAGAGAGTAGCTCTATTCAATGGCATCTTCTCTTTCTTTATAATAGCTACTACTGTTTCTTTGGTTGCAATGAAGCATGGCTAGTTAATCTATATGGTAGATTTCTGTGAGCAAATGATTCAGATATCAGAAGAAGGCCAACTACCTACGATAGGGACAGGAATATCAAAGTATCTCTCTTGCCTAAGTTAAGACTCAAGTTCTATTGTAACAACGTTGGGCTATCAAGGCTCAATCGAATATCAAAAAGGAATAATACTTAGCAATGAAAAATTGTAGTAGTTAGGCAGTCCAAATGTGATCTATACACTTCCAGATTTAGTCAATGTAATGTCAAATAATGCCACCTTGAGTATTGACAATACACTAAAGAACTGGGCTAGTACACTAGATTAGATCAGTCAGACAAATCAATTAGTTAGTGATCTAACATCATGTTAAATACTCTAATAATATGCTAAAAGATAAAACAATGAATATTGTTCAGATGGTTATTTTTACATGTGGTTTGTATATTCAGGAGTTATAGCAATCACTTTCTATTATATATTTATGGCTTTGCTAAGCGTTAAGATGAACATTTATCTGAATTAATTGATAAACTACGATGCTACTAATTATCCTTAGTAAAATAGCTTTGAAATTGATAAGATGGGTAATGTTGGCAGTAATGATTATTTGGGAGAGAGAAGTAGAGTCAACTATTCAGGCAAATAAAAATACACATCTTAGGATTTAGACAATGAAGAGGAGGTAGACTCTCTAGTGAAAAAACCTAGAAAGTATAATAACAATGATCTTTCCTTCAGTAATAACGCAGGATCATCTACTGCAAGAAAATCCAAAGTTCTTGACACCTTTGCCAAGACAATGGATTACACAGGTAAAAATACAGAGTTAGATTTAACAAAAGAAAACAGTGCAACAAGTAAGAGAGGGAAGAAAGGGCATTAAAAGCAGTAAAGCTACGACTAAGATGATGACTTTGATATGGGTAAATCTTCAGATTCCATTGAGGTGACAGACAATGAAATTGGAAGGCCAAGTCTATTTGATGCTCGAGATATTTCAACAATCAAGAAGAAGGACAAAAAGTAAAAGACTAAATAAAAGAGAGACTCATCCTATGATTACTGAGAATGAGGAGTAAACCCAGAATGATTTATGAAATTAATAAGAAATAGAAGAAACTACTCTTGAAGGATCAGTAGAATTTATATTGAATATAAATATGGTTATTTTTTTTAATTTTTATTGATTTAATATTATAAATAAATCAGTTTCCCGAAAAAGGCCTCCAAGTCTGTGAGTGCTAATTGGATTTTAGATCGAAATTCTTTGTCGACGGTGATGGTACTCCTGAAAATTAAATTTAATCTTGAAACATTCTTTCATCTCCCTTGATTTTAGGGGGTAAGCGTGGCTTAAGTTCTTCCTTTCAGTGTGCCTGGGTAGAATGGGATTGCTTCTGATCTTTATTCTGCATATCACTTCTCACATCTCTCTGTTAAGGATTCACATTACCAATAGTTTGGGGTTAAGGTTCCATTCCAGATCTTGCCATATATTAGGGATTCTATAAATAATAAATGATAATAGAACATTACATTAAGGCCCTGAGGATTTCTTTGTGACCCCATCTGCTTTTCTTTGTTCTTTTGCGACATATAATACACTGCAGCTCCAGCAGCACCAATCATCGCTAGTCTAGTCAAGTTCTTTTAGTTCATTAGTTAGTTCATGAATTCTCAATTTGGTTTTATGTTTTTATTTTAAAAGTATAATTCTATTGATCTTCATATATTTAAGTACCCTGGGGTTTTGGGGTTTTGGGGAGATCGGAAGAGCACACGTC